TGTCCGCTTACGAGGCGTAATTCCGCGTCGCTAGCTGTTGCTAAGGGCCACTGACACCCTCTGCACTTGAGATCCCATTTTGCGTGTGATGATGTCCCTGTTTTCGTGTAACAGCCGCTGCACTGGATCTCCCAGTAGCAAGGGTTGTTATCCTCAGTTTCTCCACTTCTGGCTTCTCTTGTCTTCTTCTTCGGGGTGCTTTCACTATTTGGTTTGACTTGTCCGATTTTAGGCACTGTCGGTGATGTGTCGTTTGAACTGGTTGGTCGGTTCCTTTTTTTTGTTCTTTTTCTTCTTTTTTGCCGTGGTCTTTTGAACTCCTGTACCTTCTTCTTCTGCAGATGACTGTGCGTCCTCGGAAGAAATCTCTTCCTTCTGCGGCTCATTCTCTGCTACTTGGGAAGACTATCAGGAGTGGAAAAACCTCCTCTTGTGGGATTTCCTTTGCTGGTGCTGGCTCGGGTCGTCTTCTTCTTGTGGGGCATTTGTTCGCCCAGTGGTCATTGTGCCCACAGTGAGGACAATTCGTCCTTCTGCCTGGCACAGTGACCCAGAGCTGGTGTTTGCCGCCGGGGAGCGCCGGATGCCTCATGTTGACATAATGAGGGATCGGTTTTGTCTCCCTCACGGAGGCATGCCATCTGTCGATGCCGTGTTTTGTTTGGTACGTTTCGGGATCTTCGTCTCCCGTGATTCCAGTGATGATTTTTTTCACGGTCGCTTCCGTGGCTGTGACTGGCATCCAATTGATGCAGATTTTTGTTTTTACTTTGTCTAGATGTTCTAGAAGAACATCTACACCCTCCACTGTTTTCCGCGCATTGTGCAGGAGATCGTAGTGAGTCCTGTGAGCTGCTTCGGTGAGGGTGAGGTACCACTCGGTGGTCTTCGAGTAGCGGTACAGCGCCGCTATTCCGTGGATAGGCACTCCGACTGGGCCTATCAGGACGCTGGTCAGCCAGGCGGTCGCCGCCCTGGAGGCTGCATCGGCACCGGACAAAGACACAATGATTGTATTACCTGTCCGGTGTATCCTTCCTCCAGGGAACGCGTCCGTCGGCACGTCCAGGTCCAGGTTGGTGACTGCTGCTGCAGGCTGCATCTCAGGTGGCTGTGGTAGAGGTTTGCTTCTCAGGTGTCCGGGGCTTGCTCCGTCGTCGGTTTTGGTTATGTGCGGGGTAGTGGGGTGTGGTTACGAGACTCGTTGATCG